TTCCGATGTCTTTTTCACTGAAAGCATTCACTTGTCTGTAAAAAGTATACAGCAACTGATTCACTTGGAAATAGTCTGATTCATGAATTCAAAAGTCAAAAGCTTACTTCAACCGCTGCAGGAAAAGTAACTCGTTATCTTTAAATGGAGTTTTGACTGCAAAGAACATGCAGCTATTGGGCATGCAGAAGATCTGCACACTTCTCTCCACAAATGCTACGAGATCTGCTGAATTTTTCAAGCAATTTCTGTTTCAGACCTTCAGAATCCACTCTCTGTAAACTGTTTCCAAATCCAAGCTGTTCAGGCACCAAAGAACCAAATAACAGTTTTTAAGGTCTTAGCAAAAATTTGCAGCTCGGGTTGTGGATGTGGTTGTTTGTTTGCTCGCCGAGCCTGTTGTCCCATGCTGTGCAGATGTTTCACCACCATTCCAGGTAACATCAGTGTGACCTCTAACTGAAGCATTGGTGTTCTGCTCCAATCCAAATTTATATGATCCTCTGGTGTGGTGGGTCTGGTCACCTGTATACGGGTCTATTTCGATGCATTTGTTAATGGAGTCCTATGTTGAGAACCAGGCCTCCAGAAATTACCTTACATGTCTGTTGTTCACTTGTCCCAGTATGGTCACATTGTCCCAGTCAAACTGATGGCACTCGTTGTCTGTGTGTATCGAGACAAATGAATATTGGTCATATCTTTTTACAGCCAGCTGGTGTTAGTGTATCCTGGTCGTTATTTTCCTTCCCATTTGTCCAATGCAATGTTTATTGCACTCACTGCATGGGATTCTGTATATCACAGTCCTGTTTATTGTCGGTATGGGGTCTTTGGTCTTTGATGGCATTTGATGCAGTTTTGATGCAGGTTTGTGTGCAATCATGATCCTACGCAGTCTAAGGAGTCTGGTTGTCATTTCGATATATTTTTGATGTAGAGTTACTGTGTCTACTGTTGTACTGTCTCCTCTGACTGACATTTGTTTTGTACACATCAGCGGACGAAACTTCTTAGATTATCCATTTTGTGCAGGGGTTCTTCTCCCATTCTCCTGAATTCTGGGGGTGTTGCAGTGAGATATGGCTCATTTAAATAGTGTCTTAATACAGCTCTGTTTGTAAGGTGGGGTGACTGCTATTGAAGTTCAGGATTTGGTCCATGTGTGGGGCATGCCTGTACACTTGGGTCTGGAATTCACCGTTAGTCAGTCTCTCTATCATTACGTCTAAGAACGGGAGTTGTTTGCTGTCTTCTTCCTTTATAGTGGTGGGGTGGGATGCTCTTCGGAGGGGCGGTGTGGACTTCTTGGGCCAAATGACCTGTTTCCACACTGTAGGGATTCTATGATTTCTATGATTTTTCTGCAATGATAGTGAAATTTATGCTTGCGAAGATGCTGTTACGAAGTTGGTGGGTTTCTTCTATTTTGTTTGATTATTACAAGTGGGTCATCTGCGTATCTTAGGTTAGGTTATAGGAAGGGCTGTGTGTTCCAGTGGCTGCATCACTGCTTCCACGATGAGACCCGAGATGGGTGATCCCATCAGTGTGATGATCTGTTTATATATTTGGCTATTGAACGTGAAGTGCAATGAGGCATAAATCTAGTAATTTCAGTAAGCTGTCCTTGCTCATGTTGTTGCTGGTGTTCAAGGTCGGTGCTCCTGGTCCATCTAGTAGCGTGGCTAGTGTCTCTCTGGCTAATGGTATGTCAATGGACATAAATAGTGCTGTAACACCAAAGGAGATGATTTCGTCCTCGTCAATTTTTGTGTCCTTGAGCCGAGAGAGAAATTCTCCAGCTGAATGGATCGAGTGTGGGGATCTGCTAATTAGGTGTTTAAGTTTCCGTTGTAATTCCATCGCTAGCTTGTGAGTAGGTGTGCCTGATAAGGAGACTATTGGTCTAAGTGGGATTCTAGGTTTGTGTACCTTGGGGAGTCCATAGAAGCAGGGGGTGTTTGAGCCATTAGTTTCATTCTGATGTAGTCGGCATTAGTGATCTCTCCTGCATGTTTCTTGAGTGTCTGGGTTATCCTGTTCGCTAGCTGTGATGTAGGGTTTGACGCCACCTGTTGGTATGTGGTTGTATCAGCGAGTAGTGCCTGTGCTTTCTTGATGTGGTCTGATCTGTTCAGAACAACGGTCATTCGCCCTTTGTCCACTGGTAGGATTGTAGTGATTTCATCCTTCTTCAGTCCTTCTAGGGCCTCTCTCTCCACTGTGCTGAAGGTGTCTGATTCATGCTTACAGTTAAGTGCTGGGACTACTGTTTGCCTGATGGCCTGCTGAGTTTCGTCAGTGAGTTCATTGGTTTTCAACCTTGACTTTAGTGCTGCTAAGAAGTCCGTTTTACTCGTGTCCTTGTGGTTGTAGATAAGTCCGCATATCAGTTCGGCCTTTTCTGTGTCTGAGAGTTGTCCGTCAGATTGCTTCCTTAACCCACGTGTCTGCTTTGGTTTGAGTCATCCCGGTGGATTAGTTCAGCTGGTTTCTCCTGTAGGCGGAGTCTTTTCCTTGTTCTGGTTCTCTGTTGTTTAGTGTCAATGGTTTGTTCCAGTATCATGGTCCACTGTACGTTGGTTGAATTTGGGTACAAAGATTTTTGGTGCGCAATTTCCTGATCGTATCTGTGGAGGCAACTGTGGGTATCTGTGATCATTGCCCATAGCATTCTGTGGCAGTTTTGCTCCACTAGTCTTTTTGCTAGTGGATTGTTTCATGGTGGTTTGTATTTTACACTGTGAGGCAGTACCTGATTCCTGAGGCATTCGGAAATGAGTTGTTAGTGGGTAGCATTTTGTCAGATATCATAGGTTTCCCTTTTTCAGGCCTACTTTAGCATGCTGCGTCCTGTAGGATTTTAAGGTCTTAGCGAAAATTTGTAGCTCAGGTTGTGGATGTGGTTGTTCATTTGCTGCACACAAACCTACATCAACACTGCATCAAATGCTAAAAAGACTGAAGACACCATACCGACAGTAAACAGGACTAATGTGGTATATAGAATCCCATGCAGCAAGTGCAATAGACATTACATTGGACAAATGGGGAGGAAACTGATGACCAGGATACACTAACACCAGCTGGCTGTAAAAAGATACGACCAATATTCACTTGTCTCGATACACACAGACAATGAGGGTCATCAGTTTGACTGGGACAATGTGACCATACTGGGACAAGTGAACAACAGACATGTAAGGGAATTTCTGGAGGCCTGGTTCTCAACACAGGACTCCCTTGACAAACACAGAAATAGACCCCATATACAAACCGCTACTGAAAAACAGAATCGTAAGTGACAAGACCCACCACACCAGAGGATCATATAAATTCAGAACACAGCAGAACACCAATGCTTCGATTAGAGGTCGCACTGATGATGTTGCCTAGAATGGTAATGAAACGTCTGCACACCACAGAACAACGGGCTCAGCGAGCAAACAAAGAACTACAATCACACAGTTATTAGCAAGTAAAAGGTTTCAGTCATTGATAACTGTCACTAGTTCACAAGCGAATCAACTTACTACTGCCAACGAGTTACATCATTGCACACCTTTGGCTCTGGATCATCAGCAATATGAATTTCAATTACTGCTTGTCATAGTTATTTATAATGCATGCCCCGAATATCAGGTTACTTGCTTTCAAAGCTGCAGCCACTCTTGCAAACAGTCTTCTTTTAAATTTCTCTCATTTCAGTCTTCAGTTTTTAAAAATACAGAAATAAAAAGACAGTCCTTCCAATGACAAGCTCTACTTTTCTGCTTTACCTTACCCAGTATGCCACTAGTTAACCAGAGAGCTCCTGTTTTAGCAGCAGCACTCTTTATCTTCGTGGGGATATATCTATGCTGTGCATGTGGAATCTCATTTTGGAGTGCCTCCCACGGACTTTCATTCAGTAGCTTCAACATGCCCACTTTTGCCAGATCACCTCTCAACTTGGTTAAAAAAAAAAGTTTTCTTTCACCCAGTTTAGAATCTTTATGCTTGTTCTATCTTTGCCCTCTTTCCAGAATGGTGCTAACTCTTACTATTTTATGATTATCCCCAAAATGGTCATCCACTGCTACTTTATCCACCTGCCCAATTCGTTTCCTAAGACTAAACCTAGAATTGCACCCTCTCTGATTGGGCTTATCACATGCTGGCTTAAAATTTCATTTGAAGAATTCTGTGCCCTCTCTGCCTTGAATGGATGACACCATATTTCATATTTTCAGAAGTCTACTGAATAGACTAAAAAGCATTTTGTAGATTACTTATATTGCTGAACAGAACTTCTAACACAACCAAGAATAACTCCAGTATATGTTGCATTATTCTTTAAGCGGACATTCATTTCTCCAAGAATCAGTCAAAAATGATTCTTGGCTCCTGAAGATTTACTTATAATCTTTTCCTTTCTCAACCTGGTAACTTACAATTCCATAGCTATTCGTTGTGGTTAGAGTACTGCTGGCGATCATCCCTCAGTGCAAGCTCAGGAAATCTTCCAGTTTCATTTTGAGCCTCCAACTACATTCCAGGATTGAGAACTACAGGCTTTTTGGCTCTGGTGGTTCTATCTCTTGGGCTCTGGTGGACTTAACAGGCCCGAGAGCCTTCAGGGGTATCATAGAAATTCTTTCCAACTTAAATCTCATCTTCACGGTAATGTGAATCACAAGGACCTCGGATCTGGGAAGAAATGCTGATTAGCTATCCTCGAGAGCCCAACTCTTTTAAACTTCCCACTTCTTTCCAAGACAAAACTCAACTGTTCACAACCTGATACTCTCAAGACTTCAGGAAGTCCACTGTAAATACATGGACTGCTGTCAATGTCTCCAATCCTAAACACCATGGACCTGCGTCTCAACCAAACACTCTGGGCCCCCTTGCGGTAGTACAGGCTTCAAAGCAGAAAACATAATCACCCTTCATTTTACCTTAAAGTAAATGCACAGCTCCAAACACAATAATCACTATGTAATTAAATCAATACAAATAATGTTCCTCCTTGCCAATTATAAATCATTGGTCTAAAACAATACTCTCTCAGGTATGTTAGATCCCTACTTTTCATTCAATTAAATGTTACTGTGCATGCTTTATACCATGATTAAATATTTCATTTCCTATCCTTGAACAAAAAATATCAAGGAAGTCAAGTTAAGGATGGGCTTGCTGAGTCTCATGTTGCACAAGTTAACTGCAGTAAAGGAAAACTTCTTAAAGGAAGACTAAAGGGAAAAGGAAACTAATCTGTATTAGTGGGTTCAATATCTTAAACCTGCAATACAAAGCTGTAAGTTGCAGGATTTCGAATCTTTTCAGCATAAATGTAATCCACCACAGTATTTGTGGGTCCACTGCTCCACAACTATATTTAGATGTTCCACTTTGCTACAGAAATGCTATGCTCCATAAAATCCACAAGGAGTTATGGGAACAGGGGAAGATGTGAGTAAGATGCACATGATTCAAAACAAAGACCAATCTCAAACTTATTAGTTAACTGCTACACCCGAATGGTTTCTGTCTCCTTACGCAAGGAAGGATAAAAGTACATTAGTAATCCTCAGAAGGTTCATTCATCCAAGTCCAGGGATGAAGGGATCACTTATGAGGAAAGGTCAACTGAGTTCAACAGGTTTTCGATTGGAGTTTGGAAGAATGAGAGATGATCTTATCAAAACATACAAGACCCTTGACATGGCTTTTTTTTTTTTTTTAAAAAAAATCACCTATGGGATGTGGGCATCACTGGTTGGGCCAGCATTTGTTGCTGATCCTCAGGTGCTCTTCAGAAGGTTGTGATGAGCTTGTTCCTTGAACCGCTGCAGTCAACGTGTAGCATGTAGACCCAAAATGCTGTTAGGGAGGGAGTTTGAAGATTTCTGATGGAAGTGAGATATATTTTCAAGTTAGGATGGTGAGTAGCTTGGTGACCACAAGATATAGGCCACTTAGCCCACCAAATCTGCTCCACCATTCAATAAGATCATGGTTCATCTGATAACCCTCAACTCTATTTTCTTGCCTTATTCCCATACCGTCGATTTCCTTACTAATTAAAAGCCTCCAGCCTAAATGTACTTAATGACCCAGAGTTAACAGCCTGCTCCAATTTTAAAAAACCCACATATTCACAACCTCCACAAAGAAGGAATTCCTCCTCATCTGCCTTAAAAATGTACTACCCCTTATTCAGAGGTTATGCCCTCTGATCTTAGGCATTCCACAAGGGGAAATAGCTTTTCTGTTATCTACTTGATCAAGTACTCCAAGAATCTTGTGCATTTCAGTAGATTGCCTTTCATTCTTGTAAATTCCAAAGAGTACAAGCCCAACCTGCTCAAATTCATCTCATAAGACAGTTCCTCCATACCTGGGATCAGCCTAGAGTACAGTCTCTGGACTCACTTCAATGCCAGTATATCCATCCTTGGATAAGGGGGCCAAAACTGCTCAAAGTATTCCAGTTGTGGTCTGAATAATGCATTATACAGTTTTAGCAAAATTTCCCTACTTTTATACTCCAATCCCTTTGAAACAGCAACATTCCATTTGCCTTCCCCACTACCAGCTGAATTTGGATGACAACTTCATGTGATTCACTGACAAGAACTCCCAAATCCATCTGCTCTGTAGCTTTATGTAATCTTTTTCTATTTAAATAACATTCAACTCCTCTGTACTTCCTGCTAAAGTGCATCAACTCACATTTCCCCATATTATATTCCATCTGCCAAGTTTCTGCCCACTCACGTAACCTGTCGATATCACACTGCAGACAGTGCCATTCTCACCACTTGCCTTCTCACCTATTGCTGTATTATCCACCAACTTGGTGATAGCACATTCACTTTCCTTATCCAAGTCATTAATATATATTGTAAATAATTAGTGCCCTGGCACTGATCCTTGTAGTCCACTAGTTACAGGTAGTAGCTTGAAAATGCCCCCTTTACCAGAACTGTCTATCAATTAGCCAATCCTCTCTCCGTACTAAAACACTATCTCCAACATCACAGGCTTTTATCTTAATAAGTAGCTTAATGTGTGCCACCTTATCAAAAGCCTTCTGAAAATCCAAATACATTACATTCACTGATTCCCCTTTATCTATCCTGCTCATTACCTTCTCAAAGAATTCCAATAAATTTGTCAGGAATGTTTTCCCCCACATGAAGCCATACTGACTCTGCTTGATCATACAATGTATTACTAAATGCTCTATTACATCCTTTACAATAGATCTGAACATTCCAATAACAGGTGATAAGCTGACTGGCCAATAATTATCAATTGTTTTGGTCTCCTTCCCTTTGTAAATAATGGTGTTACATTGGCAGTTTTCCAATCCTCAGACTTCTCCAGAATCTAAGAATTTCTGGAGTTCTACTATCTCTGTAGCTACTTGCTTTAACAGCCTAGGATTCAGGTCCAGTGTTTGGTTTTTAGCCCAAATAGTTTCCCTTTTCCTCTTGACATTGTTATTGTATTAATTTCCTCCCTGCTTTTTGCCTATTGAATATTTAGTCATTTTGGGATGCTATTAGTGTCTTCTGC